GGGGGGGGGGGGGGGAAGCAAGTAACAAGTTTCAAGAGCAAAAAGATAACACCACGTACGCTCACAGGAATCAGGCAACCATCCGTTCCATCCACAAAACTCGCCCCGTTCATAAACTTGCTTTCCAGCCCTCGTTATCGACCTGGCACCGCAGTAGGAAAATTCACTCCGCCACCTAGCCGCACATCTGACCCTCTCAACAACGCCCCTCGCTTTCACCTACATCGGTACAACCTCGCCCCAAGTCGCGCGACACCAAATTTTACATACTCAAGAAGCACTTCCTCTTCGCGCTTATCTTTTTCCTCGGCGCTTGGTTCACCCTCTCTTTCGTTCCGCTTCGTCTGACTAGCACACCGTCCGGCTCTTTGCATAGCGTCCGGACCATGACATGATACCGCGTTGCTCAATATTTCTCGTTGTAGTCGGATCGCGGGGACTTGGGCGGTGTCAATATATGTNCCTGGGGGGGGGGGGAGGTTACGCCACCATAGACTTGCCCTCCTCGTCCTCCTCCCAGTCAATCCCGTTAGCCTTCGCCTCGGCCATCTCGGCGAGAACTCGCTTGTAGTCGTGCGGCATAACCTGCGGCGGTGTGGGGGGGGCGATTTTAATGTAAGGAAGTGACTTTTCGGCTGCTCCTCGAATCTTGAGGTCTCGCCTCGGTTTTGGTACTGCTGTACAGGCGCGGTTTCGTCGGTGGTTCGTTGTTGAGGGAAACACACCACGACAAAGGAAACAGAAGGGGATAAACCTGTAGAGGAAGAGACGGGGGGGGGGGAGCAACGACATCGTAGTCAAGAGAAAGAGCGGCGCCATCGAGGGCACAGAACTGATGCATCGTATCGCATCACATGAGGCGGCGGGGTATCTCACTGCTTGCCCCAGGTTCGGAAGCGGGGCGTACGAAACATCGATCGTCCACGGACGTATTCAATCATATGGGGTGAGCGTTTTCACTCCCGTCTACTCTGGGCGCCGGTGTATTGCTTTGGGGTGCGGATGGCTACATACATACATACGAGATCGTACAGGCACCACCCAGTACCGTCCTGATCCAACAAGCCAAGGAGTCATCAATACACACACAATGAACGAGCGAGCGGCGGAGGAGGCAAGAGTAGAGTGCATGGGACAACAAACAACACACGCGCTCGGATGCAACACTGAAAGCACAGTCAGAAAAAGACGGTACGGGCGCGCAACAAACAAAAACACAGGCCGAAGCCGGGGGGGGGGGGGGGTACTTTTTTGTGTTTTGCATGCCTTAGCGGTTAGACCATTGACCACGCGTCCTCGAGAGGACGGAGCATTGTTCCCACAGGACCGATCACCGATGGCCAATCGTTCTTTCCTACTTTGCCAAAGGTGGCTCAAAAATGTCTTCCCTAGTCTGTCTATCCTAACGATATCCCTTCCCGCCTTTTCAACCCACCTCCTATGCCCCAGTACAGCTACCGTCCTTTCCTCTCTATTCCATGCCTCAAACATCTCCCTGTACGTTCCATCTATTTTTCCCAGCTCAGTCACGTACACTTCCCTCTCCTTCTTGTACAACGGACATTCCGCGACTACATGAACACGGTCTTCGCATTCGAAGCCGCAATCACATTTGAACTCGTCGTCTTCCTCGTCTACCGTCCTATGTCTTCGTCGACGTTCTCGAAGGCCTATGTCCCCGGTCCTGAATTTGACCTTCCTTAAGCTTTGTTCCTGCATCCATTGGTCCATGTAGTCCTTGAACCCTTTTCCTTCCTTCAACATTCCGTACACTTCAAAACCCTCCTTATCCTTGGATTCCTTCCTTAAATTCTGTTATTCTCTCTCGGCACAAGCAACAGATATCTTCTCCTTGAACCCCTGTAGACCCTCCGTTTCCAGCGTTTCATCTTCGTCGATGTCGAGCCCCTTCCATACGTCCTCTACAACCTTGACCCATTCCGTGGGTTGTCTACCCGTCTTCTTGTTCGCCAACTTCGCCTCCCAGACAATTCTCGGCAACCTCTCCTCTCCCATCCCGCACATGCGATACTGCCAGGTCAGCTTCCTCGCGTCTCTTCCCGACCGTAGGGATTGGATCCCCAATTCTGCCCTGACGGCTGCATTACTTGTGCGCCTGGAGCATCCTAGGATGATTTTTGCTCCTTTCATCGGCGCCGCCTCGAG